ACGCTCCGTCGAGCTAGTGATTCTCGCGAACGCTGCTCCACGCGTTTTGCGTAGTGAAATCGTTGTGCTACTCGCGGACGCTCCTTACGCTCTGTAGAGCTAGGGACTCTCGCGAACGCTGCTCCACGCGTTTCGCGTAGTAAAATTATCGTCCTACTCGCGGACGCTCCTTACGCTCCGTCGAGCTAGTGACTCTCGCGAACGCTGCTCCACGCGTTTCGCGTAGTGAAATTATCGTGCTCCTCGCGGACGCTCCTTACGCTCCGTCGAGCCAGTGACTCACGCGGACGCGGCTCCACGCGTTTCGCGTAGTGAAATCGTTGTGCCGCTCGCGGACGCTCCTTGCGCTCCGTCGAGCTAATGACTCTCGCGAACGCGGCTACTCGCGTCTTGCTCGTGCATTGACTTTTGCGGAAAACACGATTTGCGTTCCGCCCGTAACATTGACTTTCGTCGACGCGACGAGCTCCTCGTTTCGAAAAATAATTCGCGAGTGCCGCTACAAGCGCCCCGATTCCAAACGTACCTCACGATGGCCGAGGAAACCGAGAATCTGATCTTAGCGCAAGAGTACAAAATTGGTGCTCTCAAACGCGTGCTCATCAACTACAAGAAGCTCCCGAAGATGAGCGTGACGGTGCCGACGATCCAGAGCCGCATCTCCCAGCTGAAGGAGCACTGGGCCGCCTGTAGCAGCAAACACGTCCTGCTGTTGCAGACCGCTACGTCCGGGGAGCTAAAGGGCCTGCCCTACTTCGTGGACAACGTAATCGTGGAAGCCGAGGACGTCTATACCAACACCAGCGACATTCTACAAAACGCGCTAAGTAGACTGTTACCCGCTAACACTAACTCTTCATCATCCGATTGTCACGACGAGTCTGTTTTGCGCGAGTCGGGTTCTCAGATCTCGCGATTGCCACGTATATCGTTGCCAAAATTTACCGGTAAAATCGCGGACTGGGAGAGTTTTCGAAATATGTTCGAGTCTCTCGAGGCCTGTAACGTTTCGCTTCCTAAAGTTCAAAAATTTCATTACTTAAAAACAAGCGTTACCGGTGAAGCCGCGGTGCTGATCAATAACTTGAAAATTTCGGAGGCTAATTACGACTCCGCGTGGCAATTGCTGATCGACGAATACGACGACAAGCAAACATTAGTTCAGACGCATATGCACGCGTTTGATAGTCTACCTGTGATGAAAACGGAGAATGTGAACGACTTGCGAAAACTCCGCGATACGGTCTCTTCGTCGTTAGCCGCGCTAAACAATCTCGATCGTCCGGTAAATGAGTGGGACGATCTGCTCGTTTATCTTATTGCTCAAAAGTTTAGTCCTCGCACTCGCAGCGAATGGAATTTGAAACGTACGGAATTCGCCAAGCTTTCGTCTTACAAAGATATTAATGACTTTCTGACTCTATGCATTCGCGGATTATCCGATATTTCCGATTCGCCGAAGGATACTCGTCGTTACAAAGACGATAAGCCGCCCTCGTCGGTTAATAACGTCACTGCAAACAAATGCGTTGGTTGCTCCGGCAATCATTCGGTTTCGAAATGTAAAGAGTTTCTTGATAAAACGGTTGAGCAGCGCGGCGATTTCGCGCGTCAAAGCAGGCTTTGCCTCAATTGTCTGAGATCCGGGCATTTCCTTCAGCAATGCCTGAGCAAATCTCGATGTTCGCACTGTAGTCGTTCACATCACTCGTTACTACATTTTTCAAATAATGTAAAAGCCGATGCTACGGCAAATTCTTCGAAGATAAAAGCGGAGACGCAACCGTTCACTCCGACGGCGTCCAACGCGCCAGTCGCTGCGAACAGCAATCATGTCGCGAACAAACGGACCGGTCCCCCCGCGGACACAGTTCCTTCGAATGTCCTCTTGGCAACCGCATGGGTTGACGTTCACACGACCGAAGGCCGAAGCTTTAAAGTTCGCGCCTTACTGGATCAAGGATCCATTTTCAGTTTTATTTCGCAATCGCTCTATCAGACGTTGCGTACAAAGCGACAACGCTCAAATTTGCAAGTTGCGTGTTTCGGCGATAAATTTACAGGCGTCGCGAGATCTCGCGTCGTGCTGACGTTAAAGCCGTGTTCCAGTGCGGAACCGGGCGTTCCGCTGCACGCCTATTTCAAAATATTACTTCGTACGCCGCGTCACGGACTCAGCCCGTCGAGTCGTGGCCTCACTTGCAAGGCATCTCATTTGCCGATCCCGATCCTTCAAGTCGACATCGGATTCACTTACTAATCGGTGCCGACTTGTACGGTTCCTTGTTGAAAAATGGCCTCCGGCAAGGCCCTATTGGAACGCCTACCGCTCAATTGACAGCGTTAGGCTGGATTATCTCTGGCCCCACGGGTCGCGGCCGGATTGAATCCGAGAACATTTGCGTCTGTCATAATGTGTCTACGCACGACACGAATTCGCTTCTCAGGCAATTTTGGGAGGACGAGGAGGTCTCGCGCCCCTCTCCACTTACCGACGAGGAGGAGCGTTGCGAACAACACTTCCTCGCCACTCATAGCCGTTCTCCAGAAGAACGGTACATTGTTCGATTGCCCTTCCGGCACGAACTACCAATCGACATAGGCGATTCCCTGCCTATCGCCACGGTATTCTACGATAAAATGGAAAGAAAGCTGCGTCGGCACGCCAAACTCTCCGCGCAGTATAATGACTTTTTGGCGGAATATCTCGCTTTGGGACGTATGTGCGCGATCGAAAATCCCTGCGACACCGCTCTTACGCCCGTGTACATTCCGCATCATTCGGTTTTGCGCGAAACGAGTAGTACCACGAAGTTACGCGTCGTTTTTAACGCCTCGTGCAAAACGACGAACGGCACGTCGCTTAACGACCATCTGCTGGTCGGACCGAAGTTACAGCAAGATCTCCCCGCTATTCTGCTGCGCTGGCGTCAGTGGCATTTTGTTTATGCAGCAGACATCGCCAAGATGTTCCGGCAAATCCTCGTGAATAATCTCGATACCGACTTCCAACGAATTCTCTGGCGTCCGTCCTGCGACACGCCGATCACGCATTTCCGGCTTTTGACCGTAACGTACGGGCTCGCTCCCGCTCCGTATCTCGCGATGCGCGTTTTGAAACAATTGTCGTTAGACGAAGGGTCCGATTATCCGGCGGCCGTCCCGATACTACGCGACTCCGTATACGTCGACGACGCGCTATTCGGTGGAGATGACGTCGCGTCGCTAATGGAATGTCGCGAGCAATTGACGGGACTCCTTCAGCGAGGGGACTTTCAATTACCGAAATGGGCGTCAAATTCGCCTGAATTGCTGCGCGATTTGGCAACGCGTCAAACCGACATGGAGGATCACCTCCTTCAGCAGGACGAGACCCTTAAGGTACTCTGAATTTTGTGGCTTCCCCACGACGACACGTTTCGTTTTAAAGTGGACGCTTCGTTTTCGGTCACTCCGACGAAGCGTTCAGTCCTGTCAGTTATTGCTCGATTATACGAACCCCTCGGCTGGGCCGCCCCCGTCGTCATTGTTGCAAAAATCCTTTTACAGTAATTATGGTTAACCCAATCCGATTGGGACACCCCTCTCCCTGACGAATTGCGTCAGCAGTGGAAGGCATATTATAATAATTTAGAGACACTAAACGGTATCCGGATCCCTCGTTGGACCGGTCGACGAGGTAACGACGTCGCCTTTGAACTACACGGTTTCGCGGATGCCTCAAACCGAGCCTACACAGCCGTCGTTTACATTCGCATTCTTCACATGCATGCGGACGTTCAAGTCCGTCTATTCGCCGCAAAAACTAAAGTCGCGCCTCTTAAGACTCTCAGCATATCGCGACTCAAACTGAACGCTATCGTATTGCTGAGTCGATTGATTAAGTGGGTTCAGGCGACCCTAAGTCCGCCCTCCGCGTCAGTGTTCGGCTGGTCAGATTCGGCGGTAGCGCTAGCATGGCTACGCCAGCACCCCGCGAAGTGGCAAACGTTCGTAGCCAATCGCGTGTCCGAGGTACAAAGTACCCTGCCGGAGGCGCGTTGGAATCATGTGTCTTCTAAAGACAACCCCGCTGACTGCGCCTCACGCGGCCTGTCGGCTGAAGAACTGTCCTCTCACCCCCTGTGGTGGACAGGGCCGAGGTGGCTCTCCCGGTCATCTACGTCGTGGCCGACCGACGACCACTCTCTTTCTCTTGATCGTAGTACCAGTCAACAGGTCTACGACGAAGCTCGCGCTCACGTCGTCCTCCACGTTGAATGTGAGGACGAGTGGGAACTGATTCACAAATTCTCCACGTGGACTCGATTAATCCGAGTCACGGCTTACGTACGACGCTTCATTTCTCGAGTAAAGCGCCAGAAATCCGAGCGTACGTCACTCTTATTAACAGTACCTGAGCTTCGCGAAGCCGAAATGTTTTGGTTCCGCTACGCGCAAATTTAGCATTTGCGCCGGAAATTAGAGCATTAAGCACTAATTCTTCTCTTTCCCGATCCAGCCCTCTAAGGGCTTTGCATCCGTTCGTAGATGAGAACGCCTTACTCCGTCTTGGCGGGCGGTTGCAGAACGCCGCTCTCCGCTACGACGAGCAGCACCCGATAATACTTCCCAGGGATCGGATCGCCGAGCTGCTGATTCAGCGCGCGCACAAAGCCACCCTGCACGGTGGAACGCAGCTGGTCATCCGCACCCTGCGACAGTGGCACTGGATAATCGGGTGTCGTAAGGCCGTTAAATCTCATATTCGCGCGTGCGTTACGTGCACGCGATACTCCGCGCTGCCTTGCTCGCAACTCTGGGAGAGCTTCCCGCTTCTCGGGTTAACCTGTCGCCGCCGTTCGACTACACCGGAGTGGACTACGCCGGTTCCTTTAATGTTCTTCCGTTGGTCGGGCGGGGACAAAAAACAAGAAAGAACTACGTCGCTTTATTCATTTGCCTCGCCACGAGGGCCGTGCACCTCGAGCTGG